AGAACAGTAGGAGGTGGACGATGATCAAAGCAGTAATGTAAATAGCAGGGAGAGTAGAAAAAGAAAGGAATGAAGAGAAGCGAGGGGATAAGGGAATAGTAGAATGAAGATACTGCCGCGTACAAGTGTCCGAGGTGGTGGGCATGCAACCGAGAGAACACCAAGGGAGAGGGGTATGAGAAGGACATGGGAGGGGGGTTGGGGATGTGGACCGGAGGGGGGAGAGAGAGGGATTGGGACACTGACCGACTGACCTTGAGTCCGTCTGACCCGCCAGCCACACCTTGCCCAAAGCCCCGCCCTCTCCGCCCTGCCTGCTTGCATGCCCACTCCCACCTCAAGACCACCTGCTTCCCGAGCCAGATGCCCACAAAACATACACTTTTCCTCTCTGTGTGCCAGTCTTGCTCAACTCTCCACTTCGGTCGAGGCGAAGGTTACGCAAGTGAATGAGAGCAAGCGAGAGAGAGAGAGAGAGAGAGAGAGAGAGAGAGAGAGAGAGAGAGAGAGAGAGAGAGAGAGAGAGAGAGAGAGAGAGAGAGAGAGAGAGAGAGAGAGGGGGGGGGGGGGAGCAGAGGTAGTGAATGCTTGTGCTTGAATGCGCATGTGTACACGCCCAAGTGAGATTCGCATTCGGATTCAAACCTCTCCCAAAATGGCACAGACCACCAATCACCACACCAATCCACTCAAAATCTAAACACGGAGAGCATCAACCTATCATGCAGGAAAAAAACAAAACAAAACAAACATCACACCATCATGGCCTGCACGTGCACAAAGCTAAACAGGTAAAACACACAAAATGCAGGTAAAACAGCTATTAACAGATCCTGCCTTCCGGAGTAAACTAATAGCCTAGCTGCTAACCAACCAGGGTACAGCAGCAGCTCGAGCCAAATAGCAGTAGCTGTATCGGACTCGAATCGATTTAGGGAGGTGCTGATGAGTGCACAGTCCAGTTTAAGCATGTCTGGGGGTCGGACGTGTATATATTGGGGGTCTTGTATCAATACTACGTACAAGAACTGAGTAGACGGTGAAGATTATTCCCCATTGTAGAAGGGATTGGACGAGGGGTAAAGAAAAGAGAAAGGAAAAAAAGAAGAGATAATGATGGGAAGAAGGAGAGAGGAGAGAGAGAGAGGGGAGGGGAGAGAGGAGAGAGAGAGGGGGGAGGGGAGAAAGGGGAGGGGAGAGAGGGGAGGGGAGAGAGGAGAGAGAGAGAGAGGGGAGGGGAGAGAGGAGAGAGAGAGAGAGGGGAGGGGAGAGAGGAGAGAGAGAGAGGGGAGGGGAGAGAGGAGAGAGAGGGGAGGGGAGAGAGGAGAGAGGGGAGGGGAGAGAGGAGAGAGGAGAGGGGAGGGGAGAGAGGAGAGAGAGAGAGGGGAGGGGAGAGAGGAGAGAGAGAGAGGGGAGGGGAGAGAGGAGAGAGAGAGAGAGGGGAGGGGAGAGAGGAGAGAGAGAGAGAGGGGAGGGGAGAGAGGAGAGAGAGAGAGGGGAGGGGAGAGAGGAGAGAGAGGGGAGGGGAGAGAGGAGAGAGGGGAGGGGAGAGAGGAGAGAGGAGAGGGGAGGGGAGGGGAGAGAGGGGAGGGGAGAGAGGAGAGAGAGAGGGAGGGGAGGGGAGAGAGGAGAGGGGAGGGGAGAGAGGAGAGGTGGAGGGGAGAGAGGAGAGGGGAGAGAAGAGAGGGGGAGGGGAGAGAGGAGAGGGAGAGGGGAGAGAGGAGAGGGGAGGAGAGGAGAGAGAGAGGGGAGGAGAGAGAGAGGGGAGAGAGGAGAGGGTGAGGGGAGAGAGGAGAGGGGGAGGGGAGAGAGGAGATGAGAGGGGGAGGGGAGAGAAGAGAGAGAGAGAGAGAGAGGGGAGGGGAGAGAGGAGAGAGAGAGAGGGGAGGGGAGAGAAAGAGAGAGAGGGGAGGGGAGAGAGAGAGAGAGAGGGGAGGGGAAAGAAAGAGAGAGAGAGAGAGAGAGAGAGAGGGGAGGGGAAAGAAAGAGA